CCAGGCTGGATCGAGCACGTCTGGCGATGACAGAGGAGCAGGGAGGGAGTGGCTATTTACGACGAAAGCAGGGTGTGAGGGGTAGGCTCTGTGTCAAATGATTTAAAGAAGAGACAGTGACAGGGGCTGGGGTGACCATGGGAACTACTACAAGGAGGGGGTTGGGACACCTTTTGGTCAAAGTGTGTACCGAGAGAACTCCATCCAGCAAGGGGAGAGGCCATGGGGGCGTGGGTGGTGTGGGTTCCCGGCTAGAAGAGTGGAGTGAGGTGTTCGGTGCCCCAGTAATAGCTGAACAAGATGGCCGCCTCAAGTCTCCTTCTGCTGCTCCTTACTCTGTGCACTCTCTGTAAGCCCATGTTTTATGTATGTGCTGTTTTGAACTTAAGGCTATTAATATTTTATGCAAATTGGCAGGGCATTTTTCTGAATAACATTAACTGTCCCTTCCTATCCATCCCTTTGGAGGATTGGATTTCCCTTATTCCAAATAAAATTCAACAATTTTACTAATATATAGCTGTACTGGACATACTACAAGAAAGGAGAGTTCCTTTCCCTGAGCATCTTTGAAACGTCTTTATTTATTTATCTGGTGTATAAGAGGTTTGTCTGGGTTGAGAGGTATGTAGCACACGCATGCTGCACTGTGGAAGCCAGAGGCTTTAGGTGACATAAAGTTGGAGTTAGAGATGGTTTTGAGGAGACAAACGTGGGTTCTGGGAATAGTCTGTGTCCTCAGCAAGATCAGGGAGAGCTCTAAATCTCTGAGTCACCCCCCCCCATGTAGTTTGTGGAGTGGAGTGCAAAGTGTGGTTAAATTCCTCTTCATGTCTCCTTTTCAAACTGACAACAGCAGGGGCATCAGAAAGTACAGCATAGACAGAACTCGCCTATCTTCTCTCAGGAAGTCTCTTGGGTACAACCACTGTCTTAGTTAGGGCTTCTATTGCTGGGGAGAGACACCGTGACCACGGCAACTCTGATAAAGGGAAACATTTAACTGGCTTACAGTTTCAGAGGTTCGGTCCATTGTCATCACGGAGCCACATGGCGTCGTGTAGGCAGACGTGGAACTGGAGAATGATCTGAGAGTTCCTCATCTTGCACCGACAATAGGAAGTGGACTAAGACACTGGGCATGTTTGGAACATATATGACACCTCAAAGCCTGCCTCCCCAGTGACACCCTTCTTCCAACAAAGCCACACCCACCCCAACAAGGCCACACCTCCTAATAATGCCACTCCCTTTGGGGAGCATTTTTCTTTGAAACCTCCAAGTGGAGAAGTCTTAGGCGGATTTTACAATATATAAATAGTCTAATAAAAATAGCTAAAATTCTTATGTTTACACATTATCTTATTTCAATAGAAATCATTTAAAAGGAGGTTAAGTTCCAGAACACTCTCTTTTGCTTGTGTTAACTTGATTGAACTGGCTGGAGCTACGGCCCATGGATGCCACTTTTGCAAGCAAGCAAGCAAGTCACAGCCACCTAAGTGGAGTTGGTAATTTTCAGTATTTTGCTTCCCAGTGATTTGAGACATGTGCTCCTTTGATGGGATCCCATCTTCCGTATGACCTTCTAACATTTCAGTCACGGTGGGGAAAACAGACTGGGAATTGCTGAACAGAGCATGCAGCAAATTCCTATGAAGTACTGGGAATGCATGTGTGGCTTCTGCTGCTCCCCATTGTGTATCACAAGATTCTATGTTACCTGTTAACTAAATCATGGCTTATGTGTAGAAGTGGGCATTACTTTGCTTATGGATTTCCTCTCCGATACACATCAGTTGATATAGTACTAACAAACCTCTCTAATATTGAGTTCTGCAAGATTTCGTCTCTTTAATGGAAATGTGTCATTTCTGGTCCTCCAGTGAAGATATTTATCCAATAAGTAAATAACTTATTTCTTGCACTCCACTTCTATTAATCTCTTATTTTAAAAAAGTTTGGGGCTGGAAAAAAAATGGCTCAACAGCTAAGTGCCTTGGCAGTTTTTCCAGAGGATCCAGGTTCAGTTTTCACACACACAGCACGCACATGGTGGCTCACAACTGCCTGTAATTCCAGTCCCAGGTGACCTGAGCACCTCTTCTGGCCTCTGAGGCACTGCGTGCACACAGCACACATTTATACCATGCAAGGAAAGCAGCCTTACACATAACGAAAAACATTTAAAATTTAAGTATGCTCTTTTTATATTAATACTTTCATTTCTAATGAGTTTATAATTCTTAAGAAGTTAGTTACCATTCAAACCTGTTATCTATCACAATGTGAATCTTTGTATCACTCCAATTTTAGAATTTGTGCTGCTGGAGCGGAGTGAGCATCATAATGTGAAACTTTAAAAGGAAAATGTTGTCCCAAGCCAATTCACAGACTCTGGGAAGGGATTTAATGAACACAGTAGGCAATGTGGGTAAATGAACATGGTTTTGTTTTGATTCTGGATTAAGATGATTTGATTTTTTTCCCATTAGTTCACTTGCCAAATAATCTGAAGCATAACTTTATTCTAGTACTCAATCAAGTGCATTTCTAAAAAAAAAAAAAAAAAAAAACCCAAAACGTAAAATTAAGTTGAACTTCTAAGAACACTGTCCTAATCCATTTAAGTTGATACAACAAAATATCATAAGCACGGAAGGTTATAAACTACAGAAAATAATTTTGCAATGCTTCTGGAGGCAGAGAAGTCTTCCCTGAAGTGGATTCATGGGCTGGTGAGAGCCAACTCCCCGATTTACAGTCACATATTCTCAGTGTACCCTCACATGATAGGTGGTTCCTGGGACTTTTGTTATAGGATACTAACCTCGTTCTTTAAGAATTACACCTTCTCGACCGACCCTAATGCCTTCCGGAGAGTTCCATCTCCTAATGTTATCATGTTGATGACTAGACATCAACAGAATTATTTTGTGGGGCGCACAGAAAACTTAGATATGCAAAATTTTAGTGATATATCCGAACAAAATATTTATATGCTGTCTTCACTCTCTAAACACTCAGCACATGTAACATGACATCAAGTCAAACGTTCTTACACCAAGTGTACATCTCCTTAGAATGTGTGGGATGAGTCCCAGACCCTTCTAAGGCTCTTCTGAAGAGAAGAAAGGCAGCTGCTTCACCCCCCGGCTGTGATGTCCTAACCCCCCAGATCACATGGCTTCAGGCTTACCTAAGAGGACTCATGTGAGACAGACACATATGCACCCATAGACACATACACAGACACACACACATACATATATATATATATATATATATATATATATATATATATATATATACACTCAAACACACACAAACATACATATACACCCACAGACATACACACACAAACATACATATACACCCACAGACACACACACACACACACACACACACATACACATACACACACACCAACATACATATACACCCACAGACACACACCCCAAAATGACATTCTTAAAAGTCATGTTTTCTGTAACATGGCTGATAATTTATACACCATGCACTCTAAAAATATACCCTGAAAAGCTTGAACAGATTGCCACTATATAAAAACTATCATCATGGACTGGTGAGATGGCTCAGTGGGTAAAAGTACTTACTATATGAGCCTAAAGATGTGAGGTCAATCCTCTAACCCACGGTGGAAGGAAAGAACCCACTTGCAAGCGTTGTACTCTGACCTGCACGTGCACACTGTGGTATGCGTGTGCCTACTCTCATATTACACGCTGTTACTACTAAGTAAGTGAACAAATAAAAGATGTCAGTAAGCTAGAAACACTCAACAACACTCTAAATTCAAGTTCCAGTAGTTGGACACCTTTGGTACTACGTGCTATTCTGACCAGAAAGAAAAGGCAGGGGGTAAAAATGTCCCTTTGCCAGTTCTAGTATGATGAGTAAGGTTTACATACAACATAGAAAATATACTACACCTATCAAAATGTCTTTCTTAGCTTTCAAGAGCGGAATGTCATATCATTTAAAAATCATATTTATTTATTTATTTATTTATTTATTTATTTATTTATTTTATATGTGTGGGTGTTTTCCTTGGGTTTATGTCTGTATGCCATGAGCATGCAGTCCCTGAAGAGTCCTGAAGAGGGCATCTGATCCTCGGGGACTGGAGTGATAGATGGTTTTGAGCTACCATGTAGGTGCCAGGAGTCAAACCCTGGTCCTCTGAAAGAGCTGCTAGTGTTCTTAACCTCTGAACCATCTCTCCAGCTCCAAGAATAGTATGTTATTCTCAGAAGGTTCTAGACTCCCCCCTCCCAGTTTGGTTGTGAGTTAAACAAAAACCATAATGTCTTTAAAGTTCTAGATCTGTGGTGTGTAATTGGTGTTAATTAATGATTGAAAGAACATTTAATAACACTGGATGTTGCAAACAGCTTAGCAAATGCTACCCAGCTCACCAGCTAAATGACTGGTGTCATTCCCTCATCTTTTTATTCTCTTGGGTGTCATCTCTTTGGAGGATGATATAAACCTGAAAATCTAGGTTTCGTAAAGATACAACATGAAAGTTCCTTATATAAGGCTAATTTAATGTATAGCTTTTTTTAAAGATATATTATATTGAAAGCCCAATGTAAATTTACTTCATTAAAAGAAATTATCATGTAAATTATTTGCTCTTAAGACAACAGTGATCTTAATTGAATACAAGAAAAAAGAAAAATATGGGTCCTTTTCACAAGTACTTGGATTTTTTTTTCCCAAAGGAACTTCTGTTCATAAAGTTTATAAAAGTTTGATTTGACAGCAGATCAGCCCCCTTTGTCCCATTTCATTTGTTTGTTTCCTCTTTTAATGCAAAAATGGAAAATACTTGATAGACAATAGGCTGTCTAAGATCTCTTCTCAGGATGACTGTATTCTGTGATTTCAAGGATTCAGCCCATCTGTGAGTGAAGGCAAGCAAGTCAGATCCCAAAAATTCTTGCAGCAACTGTGAAGAAGGAAACTGACAGGCCATGAACCCGACCCTCAAATCCCCAACATCTTCTCTCTACTCGGAGGCCAAGAGCAGCCACGTGTTGACGAGAAATGAGAACTGCTTCCTCGTCAGGCACACGCCTCATCCCAGAAGAGTCTGCCACATCAAAGGTGATGGAACTTCGGCTAGTCAGATAGTTTTCTCCTCTGTGCACAACTGTAATTTTTAAAGTATTTGGCCACTTGTAAAAGCAGGTGCTAAGATACTAGAAGCCAGGTCCTGGTGCTTAATAGACATCTGTGGGTACCTTCTCTGACAGACATTAGCCCATAGATTGCTTGTGTTGGGACAGGGACCAGAGGCCCAAAGTACTCAGAGGTAGGTCATTCGGGGTCCTCAAGGTGGTATTGGCTTAAACATATTTAAAAAATCTTTACTACCTTCACACCTATATTTTCCAGGGTCCTCTAGAGTAACAGAACTTAAAGAATCTACTTGTCTGTCTGTCTATCCATCTAACTAAAGAGGATTTATTACAATGATTTATTAGAATGATTCACAGTCTGTGATCCATCTAATCCAACAAGGGCTCTCTATCAATGGGAGGTCCAAGAGTCCAGTAATTATTCAGTTCATGAGACTGGATTTCTCACCTTCAGTATATGCCAGACTCCCAAAGGCATAAGCTCTAATGCCAGTGGAAGGGTGCACTTGCTAGCAAGGGTGGGAAGAAGCAGGCAAAAAGAGAGAGCTTCCTTCTTCCATATCCTTTATACAGCTTCCAGCGGAAGGCATGGCCCAGATCAGAGGTGGGTCTTCTCACCTCAAAAGACCTGAATTAAAGATATGTCTTCTTACTTCACAGATCCAGATTAGACATGGATCTTCCCACTTCAAATGAGCCAATTAAGTAAAATAAATTCCTTACGGGACTGCCCAGCCATTTTTGAGTTTTAGTTAATTCCAGATGTAGTCAAGTTGAAAAACAAGAATAGCCATCACAAACCCATGCCGGGATATGAACATAAGCCCTAGTGAAGTGTATTTATGTACATATATAGGCATACATGTTGGCTACAGAGCCCAGGGCCCTGCTCATAACAGGCAGCCACTCTCCTACTGACCAAGTCATATATATTTGTAATATATATATATATGTTACCTCCTCCCTTTCCTCCTCTCTTCTCTTCCTCCTTACCTGCCTCCCTCCCTGCCTCTCCTTCCTTTTCCATTTCCTCATCTTTCTGTAGCAACCCCCTTGGATACCAGACATTGCTAGCATATTCTCTCAGCTGAAGAATAAAAGCACATACACTTCCCACATATAGCTGGGCTCCAGAGAGAGATGGTGCTTTAGGAGGTGGATTTCTCAAGATTACAAAGTACATGGAAAACAAACAGAATGTTTAGCACTAGATAGAGTAAACCAGTCAGTTCAGTCCAGATGGGGTAACTGTGGGACACCTCCTCCCACAAAAGCCACCTCAACTGGTGGATTCATCACTAGGTCCTTCAAATCCTTCCCTGAGACTCATATTCCTGTTAGAGCCACCTTCCTGACTTGGAGTGACCATGCAGGCAGAGCTTGGGAAGAAGACTACTGCGTTGTTTGTAGTTAAGTGTATGAACAAGGGAGGGAAGGGGAGGGGAGAGGAGGGGAGGGGAGGAGAGGGGAAGGGAAGGGAGGGGAGGGGAGGGGAGGGGAGGGGAGGGGAGAGCTGCCAACACAGAACAGAGCGCCAGGGCATGGCGCAGAAGGGAGACATGCCAAGTGCAGAGCATGTGGGGAGGAGAGGGGCCACTGGCTACTGAGCAGGTAGTTCTGTGTATCATGCTATGAAACATACATCAAATCACAGCCAAGGGAGATGTGTATACTCAGGATTCTCACACCCTTTCCTCTGAGACATTCTTCAATCTATTGCATTCTGGCTGCCTCAATACCCCAGGCAAATGGTACTTCCTAATGCTACCACTATCCTTATTTTGACAGATGTGACAAACATAATCAGGGTGGCCATGATGCAAAAAAGAAAACAAGCAACAGAATGATTGGTTACCCTCAACCGACCAATCTCCATGAAACTACCACAAAAAATATATTTAAAATGTAAATTTGGTTGTTTAAACATCTTGCTCAGATCCCTCAGAGTCATTGATGATAATATTGTCTAGTCCTGTGATGTGATTGCTCTCTTTTATGACTCATTCCACATATCCACCCATATATGCACACACCTCATGGGCATGCCCAAGTTTCTCAAAGGTGTAACAAGCCCTTTGCAAGTTCTGGGTTTTCACACTTACTTTCTCTATTCAGAAAACACCATTAATTGATATCTCCCAGATACTGGTTTAAACATCATGTCAGTCGCTTCAGAGAGATGCTCTAGGCCCCACACACTCAATCTAGATGCTCATGTGACATTTTGCCACAGTACCCTCTGTTTTCCTCTGGAGAAGTTTTCTTAAATTAGGCTCTGAGGACACTAAGCTAGAAGCTTATGTCAAGAAGCTCTGTTTGGGCATGCCTTGCGCAGTGACACCTACAAAAGAAACGAAGGAAGCAGAATTAAGAGGGAGAAAGCTGAGTGCCACACGGATGTCACAGAGGCCTCAGCCGGGCCCACAAGGAACAGCAGGGCTGGGTGGCCTTGTACAGGGTTCCCAGTTGCAGGTGAAGGCTCAGCCATTGTGACTTCCATCAGGTAGGCATTGGGTGGTGGTGCTCTGCTGTGCATGTGAGCACCCTTCAGCTAAAGGCGAAGTCCCAGACAGAGCTGTAGGTTATCAATAGTCGATGCAGCTATACGTATCAACAGTAGAGACTCGTGTCTGTGGGAGGGACTCCTGCCTCCAGGACCCTTCCTTGAGCTCCTGCTCCAAATCCCCTTCATGATGCACTGTGACAAGGATGTGTCACCCAAACAAACCTCTCCTCCCCCAACTTTCTGGTTATGGCGTTTTACTACAGCCACAGAAAAGCAAACTGGGATAAATAGTAGGCCTTTTCTTAGTTAATCATCTCTGTAATTGTAAACTTCCTAACTGTGAAAGGACAGTCATCTACTAAGGAAACAATTACCCTGGACAAAATGAACACAAAGCAAGCAAGCAAACCAACAACCACTCTCCCATCAAACTGAGGTGGGTTATCAATCAAAGACTGAGAGCCCTGAGGACAGAGCCTTTGGCTCTCAGCAGCAGAAACTCAACTCCCCATAGTGGGCACCGGTCTCTCTGGAGCCCAGCTCCATTCCTGAACCCTTTGCCGGGCTGGAGGATGGGTCTTCTTTCAATGTTAGATTGAATCCACCTTTCATGACAAGTTGTCGGTCATGGATGTCTGACTGGACATTCAAACCACTATCATGCTGTTGTATTTGTTGCTTTACCCCTTTGAAAAGTCATTCTTACCTAACGCTTGAACAGATGGACTCTGAAGTCTTCCCTGTTATTTCTGTCTGGTATGAGATTACCACGTGTACACATTTGTATGTGAATATGGGAAAAGTGTGAAGCAATAATAAGTAAACAAGGTAGGAATGGAGAGATCTGTTCACCTATGAGAACATACCTCCAACATGCACAATACATATACCACACGCTTTCTTTCTAAAAACCTAATTAAAACAGAAATTAGAACTTTCAATACACATATTTGTGTGTAAGGTTACCTATATGTAATTTGCTATGCAATTCTTTGCTATGTACCTGGGCCAATCACTACTCTAGGGTTTAAAGCATAATGATAGCATCTGATAGTATCTTCAAACATCCTCATTCCTATATATAAAGTTACTGTTAGTAAAGTATGAAGTATTTAACCAAATAAAAGCCTTATATTTTGTTGCATTATCCAGCCATTCATTCAATCATCAAAGCTCACTGGCTTTCTGTCAGGCACCGAAGTAGGTACTAGCAATAGACACTAAACAAATGGGCAACACCCCCCATCCACAGGCTCACACCCTAGTACAGCTCTGACAATCCGTTTACAACTATTTAATAAGACTCATGGTAAGTACTGTGGGAAGCCTAAGAGCATTAGGAGACAGTATGTGATGGGTGTGTTCCAGACAGGCTGGTCAACCAACAAGTAAATGGCTATCTGTATTCTTCCAGGTTTGAACAACATCCCGATCTGCACTGTGAATGATGATGAGGTCCCACTTAGAATGTTGTGTGGCCCTGGCTCCTTTAGCCTCTTAGAGGGGAATGAGACACCTTTAGCCAAATTGAGCAATTCACCCACCACCACAGCCCTGGAGAGCCCCGCCCCAGAGCTGTCACCTGTCCAAAACAAAGTTCCTGCAAGACCTCAGTCTGGTGAGTCCCTATAGAGAAATGGAATCTGTCCTTAGGCCTCTTGCAAATAATTGGAAAGAACTCAGTTTGCTTAAATCACTGCAGTGACTGGGAAGGTAGGTTATTCACTATAGACAGCTTGCATTCCTCTAACCACAATTCAGTAAGACACTATTAGCAAACACTATCAATATTTGATGTATTTGCTGTAGTGTCCGATCCGTAGAAAAGTGCGTGTGATGACAGATTTCAAATGTCAACTCCACTGGATCTAAAATAGCCTGGAGATGCACCTCTGGATGTGTTGAGGAAGACGTTTCTGGAGAAGGTGGATGAGCAGGGAATGTGGGTGGCACAATTAACACACTAGCGGTCCCAGACTGAACAAAAACAGGGAAAGAAGAAGCCAGCTAAGCATGGGCACCCATCCCCCCTGCTTCCTGACTCGCAGCCATCTCACTCATTGCCAAGTCCTTCCCCCACAACGATGGGCTGTCTAGCCTCAAACATGAGCGGGGAATGAATCTTCTCCACTCTAACATACTTCTAGCAGGTATTTGTAATGAGAAAACTCACTATCAAACATTGTAAGAGATATCAGATGGGAGTGGCTAGGCAACCGTGATAGGAAGCAACAGACAAAAGGTGGGTCCAGTAGGCACATGGGGGATGGAAATGTGTGCACATCTTTCTAGAAGGGCTCTCACCGCCTTAAGTTCGTGCCCAACGGCATTGCCTTCTGTGCTCACCACACTCTTATTTTTCCCTGTGACCTACATGAAGTGTCTGGTCTTTGGTATCTGACTAAGTAAATGAAGAGATGCTTACTGTCTTCCAAGATCCCACTAGATAGACCCATCAAACTGTTTGCAGCATGCAATTGCCTTTCTAGATCATCAGTATATCAAAAGCTTTCGCATCCTTCCAACAAAGTAGTCCAAAAGTATAAAAGCAACACTCTACTGAAACATTTGTTTTCAGATTTATTTTGTATGTATGAATGCTTTGCTTGCAGGCATGTATGTGCCTCACATGTGTGCTAGGACTGTGTCCACAGAGCCATCATCTCTCTAGCCCCCAACAGAGTTTTGTGACACTAATGACCTCACTCCCTGGGAACCAATTCCTGTCCTAGTTTCATTTTATTGCTGTGAGGAGATTCTCTGATTTAAAAAAAGCAGCTTAGGGGAGAAAGGGCTTGTTTTGGGTCACAATTCTTGGTTACAGTCCATCACTGTGCGGCAATCATGGCAGCAAGAGCTTCGACAGCTGGTCTCATCACACCCAGAGCCAAGAGAAAGTGTAGCTGGTGCTCAGCTAGACTTCTCTACTATGAGAGTTCAGTGACCCAGCAAGGGATGGTTCCTCCACGTTCACACTGGGTCTTTCCACACCGAGGAAGTCAGCCAAGACAGTCCCTCACAGACACATCCACAGGCCAACTTGATTTAGACAACTCCTCAGTGAGGGCCTCTTCCTGGGTGACTCTAAACAAAGCAAAACATACAAATTGTCCACTACGCAGAAGTGACACACATGTCTAAGAAACATACACTAAGATTCTGCTTTTACAATCAGTTTAATTAGATCAAGAAAGCAAAGTAGCCAGGACTGCTGGAAGAGACTCCCAGTCCTACTTACTTGGGAAGCTGAGTCAGGGGGATCACAGGCCAGCCTGAGACTGAGATTGGAGAAGGGGGAGGAGTGGAGGAAGGAAGGACTGAGGGAGGGAGGGGGAGGGGAGGGAGGGCAAGGAGGAAGAGGGAGAAGGGAAGAAAAAGAAGGAACAGGAAGGAAGGAAGGCAGGAAGGAAGGAAGGAAAGCTAGTTTGCAATATGTCTTCATTCTATCATGCTGGGAATAGAACCAATAATTTTAAGAAGCATACATGCACTTGAATAATGTTATTATACTGGTTTTCTGTCACAGGTTTCCACATATGCACACATAGGCCTCAGCTGACCTTAAGTTCAAATAGACTAGTTTATTTCAGCAACTAATACATAAAACATGTATTGAAATTTCTTTAATTTAAATATATTCCCCCAATTTCTTTCAGAGCCATTTAGAAATACCAACAACTGCTTCAAGACTTCCCGAGACAATCCCTTAGTGATTAAGAAGGTAAACAAACAGCTGCCTACAGCTGGCTGAGTGACTTCAAGACTCCTCTTCCTACAGCTGGCTCTTTAACACTTGCTCTGTCTTGCAATCCTTCTGAGAAGTCTCTTTCACAATATTTCTACAGCTTTATTAAAGTGTAGCTTTATGATGTAAGACATCTATATCCCCAGTGCACAATCTGATGGATCTTGACAAGTACATCTGCATCCCCTGGTGAAGCGATACCAAAGCACCGGTCTCCCAGCTCCCCTGGGTTTCCTCGGGAGCCCCGCCCTCCCAAGGACAAAGACTTTTAACTTTTACCCAAACGAGGCCCCATGCAGGGTTCTCTTTCAAAGTCTGCTTTCACTTAGCAGAACAGAGTTATCTAAGATCCACCCCTGTTTCCTGCTCTTCTCACAGTTGTGAACCCAGGCCTCTGGTGAAGAGCATCTGGATCGGCCTTTTCACAGAGCTAGGACGCACACTCACACACAAGTCTTCGTGTGTTTCCACGCTTGCTTCCCTCCCAGGCAACCCTGCACGCACAAAAACTGACGCGTGCAGTGCTTTTGTGTCGACATTTTAGAAGAACGGCCAAGTTGTTTTCCGCTTTCCTTTTCCGAAATGGCAACGATTGGTTTTAGTTTAGAGCTGATCGAAGTGAAGTGTATGCGGCTGCAGTTTGCCATCCTAGCACAAAGGAGGCTGAAGTATGACTGCCGTCTTCAAACAAACGAGGCTAACTAACCCAGGGGCCTGGTGGTGTGTTCCTTGTGTGGTTTTAGTGTTGACTTTTTTCTCACCCCTGATGAAGATGACCACTTTCCTCTTCTTCCCTGTCATCTATGTGACCTTTTATGGGATGTGTTTGTTCAGATCGCTTGCCTGTCTCTGAAGTTGTTTTTGTAATTGTGATGCAAAAGCTTTCTACACAGCATATATAAAGCCTTTGCCACATGTGTTTTGCAGATGTTTAATTTAAATCTGAACCTTGCCTTTTTTGTTTCAAGGTTCCTTCCCCTGCCTTCCAAAAAAAAAAAGTTATTTTTGGTAAGGCTTACATTTCTAATTTTTCTATTATGTTTTCAAATTTGCACACTGCCCATGTCTGCTGTGGTTTCCTGTGAAGGCCAAACCTCTGGTGCAGTGTTAACTACAAACAGGAGAGCTGGCAGCCTTGGCTTGTACTTGATGCTCATAAGAGGGAGCATCCAGACTTTCAGCTTGAAGTACAGGGTTGGTTCTCTCTGTTCAGATGCCCATACAGGACCGAGGCAGCTTCCTTCTCTTTCCAGTGCTTTATCAGGCATGGAGGATGAACTTTGCCAAGCAATTTTTCTGCATTTGAGATGACCCTATTTTTTCAGGTTATTATACAGTGAATAACACAGGTTCATTTTCCAGTATTAAACCATCCTTGCATTCTAAGATTCTACTTAGTAAAGTATGTTATTCTTTTCACCACTACATTTTATAAAATATTGTTTAATATTTGTATGTATTGGTTTATGTGAAACTTTAGTAATACATTAATTATGCTATAATGATAGTGTTTATTAATATAGTAAGTATAATATATGCAATTTTGTTGTTATATTTATATTACATACTTAAATAGCATTACAAAACATTTTCTTATAATATCTTTTTCAGGTTTGTTTTCAGGACAATGTGGGCACGATATAATATGTTGGGAACTCTAGTAGTCTAGAGGATTTTATACAGAATTAAAAGTCATCTAGACTTGAAGTTTCCTCCAGTTAAAAGTTTTAAACTAAGAATTGAACTTTTTTTTTTTTCCCATAGAGAATTGCTTTATATGTTGTTTGTTTCTTCTTTAGTGAGCTTGGGCAGCTTGTATTTTTTTTTTCCCAAGGAATTTATCTATTTCATTTTACTTTTAAGATTTACTGACACATTTGTTTAAAAAATACTTTTTTATGATTTTACATCTGCATAATTGTCTTCTGGCCCCTAACATTGGCACTTTATGCTTTTTCATCCTTGATGTATATCATAGTTAGGGTTATCATTGCTGTGACGAAACACTATGACTAAAAGCTTTGAGATCTGTCTTTCAGACAGTTCCAGGTAGTTAAAAGGAAAAGTTCTTATTTGCCATCATCATACAATGATCTCAAGACAAAAATAGCTACACTTCTGTTTCTTACTTCCCCGTTGCTTTTGTCTTGTTAATTCCTTGTTGTCCTGTGCATTCTGCTTCTTCTATTTATCTTTTAAAATGCCAATCAGGTGTTTCAGTTGTGTTCGGTGAGAGGAGTTGAAGCAAAACAGTTAGTGTATGCATGAGAAGTGTTCACAAGGATTGAGTCTGCATACGATCAGCTTCACTGTCACCACTGCCAACAGTTAGATGCTCTTCTATCACTCTGGTCCCGCCCAGGTGGGCTCATTTCCTCATTAGCTTGGTGTGTGGGTCAAGCTGACAGCTGGGGCTGGCTAGACAGTCTTCCCGGGAACAGGCGCGGAGATCCAAGGCTCCTGTAGCTCTTTGGCCACAAGGTCTCCATACTCTTTTGTTGTTGTTGTTGTTGTTGACACTGATTGAACTGCAGACTGTACCTTCCGCCCATCCCACCACAGGCCTTTCTATTTCCTATTCAGCTAAGAAAGAGAAGAATATTAGTTCCTGATTCCAAATCCCCAGCTTTTAGCAGAGCAAGGAAGCACAGCTCTCACAATGAAGCCTCTTTGCAGCCAAACATGAATCTTCTAACTGCCTTCCTGGTGGTAAAGGGAAATCTTCCCAATGTAACGCAAAGCTCATGTGGTAGAAGTTATTGCTACCTGGAACAACAACACACAGGACCAATTCACATTCAGCATCCAAATTGTTATCTTGAGTTTCATCTAGGGCTTTAAATGATTTCAACCAAAGTCAATAATATGTCACTATCTGCTTTGTCTCCAAATGTTTGGTAGAGTTTAAAGGACACTTTTAACTTGTTAAAAGTATTAATATTGGTTTTGCTTGTATGGTTCTCTTATTAAAGATGAATGTTTCTCTGACCTATGAAATGGGTCTATGTGTAAAGGTACTTGCTGCCAAGCCTGATGACCTGTGGTAGACACCCAGGACTCACATATAAGGCACAAACTGAATTCTGAAAGTTGGCTTGGGACAACACATGTACCATTCTATGCTCATGCACATGCAAACTCTCAAACACACACACACACACACACACACACACACACGGTTTAATAAAAATGTAAGCAAAGGTACATGCTTCTCATTAATTTTACATTTAATTTATATAGAAATTACAAGTGCAAAAATGCATGCCAATCATACTATATCTTTGATTTAGGATGCATTGAAAGACAAAAACATGCCAGTGCCTCCAAGGATGTGCTCTGCTGCTGGCTCCCCAGGCCTCAGAAGTGATGAGCATCAAGCCTGATGAGAATGAAAACACTGTGTGCATACCAAACTATCTGAATCAGGAGATAAAAGTAAGAGGCGGGGTATTAAATAAATAGCTTGGAATAGCAGGTGGGTACATGTACACACACACACACACACACACACACACACACACACGCATGCACGCACACACACACACATGCACACGGGGGGGAACAGTGAGCAGCAATGTCACAGGTGTGTGACACTAATAGATAACAGATGATAATATGATAGATAAACTTAGGATTTATGAATATATGGGTAAGCTATTTTTAGGTATTTGGCAACAGGCTATACAGCTTTATGACTGTGAAACTGGATGATTACTACGTTCAGCTCAGGTTTCTCCTAGGGCACATTCCTAACCCTGGTACAGAGAAGTGACGCCCACAGTGCAGTGGGCTTCACTACAGGGAAGACGGTTTAGTTTGAGGATGCTGAGGCGGCTGTAAAGTAAGAAGCTGAAGAAGACAAATCTGTGTCGAGAACAAGCAAAGGGCCCCACCGAGTCTTTGGTGCAATGCTAACCCTTGCATGCACAGAGCAAGCTGCAGAGGTCCAGGAGCAAAGAGTGAATGAAAGAACAAGTCTCGGGAGCTGCTGGCTGTCACTCACACACAGCAGAGTGCAGAGAGTTGCTTAATACACCAGCAGTTCAGATGAGACCCGAAAATCTCACACCTGAAGAATGGATTACTCTAATCCTACAGCTGGGGACAGTGACTGAGGGAAACATCCAATGTCAACCTCCGGCTTCCACATATGTGCCTGCATGCTTGCATACATACATACATACATACATACATACATACATACATACATACATACATACACACACACCCATATACATAAATATTAACAAATTTAAATCCATACCAATAACAACTACCTAAAGTAGATATAAAAATATAAACAAGCCTATTGACCTATGAGAATATAATGAGTATTCTAATGTTGTAGAACTGGGGTCTCAGAAGCAGTAAAGATTAGAACATAGAAATTATGGGGAGAGATAGCAGTTAACATTTTCTAAAGTGGACAGAAACTTAAAATGTAGAAAGATAAACTCAGGGTAAATTGCTCCTCAGCGTCGACACCCGGCTGCTGGAAACCACAGAAAGAAGGCACATCACACACCTTGCTACTAAGGCTGCTGATTTCTTAGTAGAAACCTGCACATCCAAGGCAGTAGGACACTGCCCGTGAAGTGCTTAAAGGACAAAAGCTCTCATCTTACAGTGGTCCTTCAAAAGGAAGGAAGGACAGTGCCAGAAGGAAAGGCTTTGGGGAAAGGAAAACACACACACACACACACACACACACAAGCGTGCATGTGCGCGCACACACGCATACACTCACACACGCATACGCACACATGCACATGAGTACACACACACACACACAATCCCCTCCCACAACTCAAGTATGGATTCTCACTGACTGAAGGGATTTAGGTCCCTGCCTCACTGTCTCAGTGAAGTCCTTCTTAGCCACACTGAGGAGAGCAGCAGCCAGGTGGGCCGCTTGTGTGACTAGCAGATTCCTCTCTCAGCCCTAGGAAGCCTGCACGAGGGGTCCATCTCCTGAAGTAAGTTGCTCCTAACAGATGTTAAGACTCAACAGGCACAGCATGACAAACAACAAGCATCGCTTGAACTGCTGATGTTTTCATTGATCCCCCTTTGCACTGTTTGAAATGTAGCTCTCAAAGTAGATCCCAACCGACCCAAGCATCATGTACCCAGAGTGACGTTTCTAAAGAAAGGCAAGGAAACCTTATGAGCCCGGTGCCATTTACTGCCTCACTATGTGTCCCCCGTCAGATCCTGGCAAAGCTCTGTGACATTTTACACACCGATTCGCTGGCAGAAGTCCTGCAGTGGCTGCTTCACGCAAGTACCAAAGGTGAGATGGAAATGAGTATTTGCAGGCACTGGACTCGGTTATTGTCAGACACGATGAATGTGCCAAACTGAAGCTTCCTCCCTGGGGTTTTCAAACAAATACTGCAAAATTATTTGCCTAGAGTTGCTTACCAGAGTCCCCTGTAAGGCTGTATTCATTCCTGCCTGCATGGGAGCTGGCCTTCAGATAATCAGTGTAGTGCATCTCACACTGAACTCACTCCAGAAGTAGGAAACATGCTCTCAGCTAAGGCTGGTTTCTGCATCTCCTTGCTTCTTACCCCAAGGGTCTCCATGAACACATCCTCTGGCCTGCCGTGGAATCTGAACATATACTTGCTTCTTTCCTTTGGTGTGGACAGTAGCAGCATGGCCTTCCATGTTTCAGACTCCCAATAGCTATGATGATTTAATCTTAGCTAATGCCTGGTATCTCTTGGGCTGTGCCTGGTATGTGTCATGAAAATACCAATAATACCATTGCAGGGCAATCCATACAGCACTCAGCAGCTGTCCTCAAACTAGCTGATCATCAAACTGATTCAAAACAACCCACACGGGCCCCAAGAATCTGCTTTTGTAACATGATCCCAGGTGATGCTGATGGTCAGGCAACATTGCTCTGGAGAGCACTCTCTAATGGGCAATGGGGAGCACTTTGGAAAACTAGTACCTTGTAACAGAGTTCAAGACTACTCTATAATTGCAAAGTGCTTGGGGGCAATTTTCTAAGGGGGGGGGAGAGGTAAAAGATTGTGACATTTAATAAATTACCCAAGTAATAAGATCTTCTTTTGTAAATGTATATATATGTGTATATTTGTGGGGGGGTGGACACAAGTGCATCAGTGCATAGTGCACAGCGGGCAGCAGAAGGTAGGCCGGAGAGATGGGAGAGAAAGGGGGGTGAACAAGAACAAATTGAAATGCCATAAATGTATGCATTGCCAGAATGAAACCCGTTACTAACTGAAACAGGGACAAAGCTGCACTTCCCGTCAATATGACAGTAGTAACTTTCATGTTCCCAACCTTTTCTTCCCCCAAATCAGAAAAGGAGTGGGTGTCGGCTTTGGTTCATTCTGAACTAGCTGAGATTAACATGTTGACTCGTCACAGAAGAACTACCCCAGCAGAACCAGCGGCAAAGCCCAAGAAGCCATCCTTAGCTGGAACACCCACCACAGCCAAATCGATGCAAACTTCACCTGCAAAATCCAAAGTGCTGACCAGAGCTACAGAGGGGCATCAGCCGCCCAGGTGATTAAATATGGGGGCCGTCCAGGGCTCCCCTGTACATAAAGACGTCACACTTCCCTTGTTTCCTCTTCAAGTCTCAACTCTATAGTGAGTGACTGCACATATGTAAGTGTTTTCTTTCATTTCCACAATTAACAGCAAAGTTGTTCTCGGTTCCACTGTTCAGAACATTTTGGCAGAGGCTGTGTTCTTTAGCTAATAAATAACCTTTCTCTTTTGAAGCAAATCCCCTTTCTACTAATGGCAAAGACTAGACAATTAGAGATCTAAGAAAATATAAGGTTTTTTAGGTTATTTACCCACAGAGGCGAGAGAGAATGAATGAGGTCAATGCATGCAGTACCCACAGCGGCCAGGAGAGGACATCAGATGCCCCTGTAACAGTCACATCAAGTTGTGAGCCTCTTGGTGTTGAGAACCAAAGTTTTCTTAACCATTGAGCCATCTTTCTAGTCCCAAGTGCTTTAAAAAAGTTTAAACATGCAAACCATAAAGGAAACTGAGGCTATTATTAGTGTTACTCATATTTTGTTAAATGCTAGTATTATACAGATATAAATTTTAATGTAAAGCAATGAAGATAAAAATAAATCACTTCAACTGACTTTCACTGATATATTCCTGGGAAGTTTTAGAGAGAAAAATAATCACTAAGCCATCTGGAAATTGTTTTAGAAGCAGTATTCTTTCCTTCCTTCCTTCTTCCTTCCTTTCTTTCTTCCTTTCTTCTTTGAAATCAGGAGGGCAGATCAGTCAATACTGAAATGCCACAAATTTATTTTTCACCACTCATATACCTTAACCAAAAGGGGAACATGGTATCATGTATACGGAACAAACAGACTTTTCTTCCTCCTTACTCTAAGGGTTCAGTAACCACACCTTAGCTTCAACTTCTCGTTCCCTAGCCTTGAGGTCAGGAGTAGCCGCACTTCAGTTCCGTTGTTATTTAGAATAAGGCAGCCAAACACCCTACTATAGCCACACCTTTGGCTTTTAGGTTTTATGACTTGCTGAGACTACTTTTGAACTCTCTGTCCTTGTGCCAAGATGGAGTGCAGCCATCTTTATGGGCACCAATAAATTCCCCTTCTTAATATAATTAAGTAATACCCATGCTTCTGCTACAGGACAGATAGCTGTGTCTATCTTAGGTAGTGTTCTTCTACCTTCCAGCACTACCTGTCATGGGAAGCACACATTCTGTCATTCATGACCTGTCTTAGGTTGCCTGGAGGCAAAAAGACCTTACCCATCTCTGACTACCAGCCTCTGTAGTAAAGAACATTAGGGGATAGATAGTCCACAGCTCGATGCCGCTCACCTCTGAGCCCACTTTTCATCAAGAGTTCACAAGCAAGCTTGATAATGCATATAGAAGCAGTATTTCTTAAACCATGCAATGTTAACAAAACAGCTGGGTGTGGTGGTAAACATCTGTAATCTCAGCACTAAGGAGACTGGAGCAGGAGTTTTACAAATTTAAAGTAAATAATTTAAAATTTAATGCTATCCTGGACTATACAGCAAGACGCTGTCTCAAAAGCAAAACAGTGTATTTATGTATAACATGTTGAAGGAATGAGTGTTAGGCTGGGAGAGAAAATTTTGTTGTTTCAAAATTAAAAGTTGGGTTAAATGCAAAGTCACAGAAATAATGTGATTTAAAAAAAAAAAAAGCCACTTTAAAAAGTATACATTCTAATTGTCTGCACCGTTAAGTTTCTGTGAAGTCAGAAAGTAAGACCTGGTAGGAGCTGACCTCCTCTTCAGTGAGTGGCTTATGGTAGGCCTGCTAGATATTTGCTCAAAGTAAGTAGTCACTGGTAAGTAATTTACGTCAAGGATGGGCTAGCACATTTAAGATAGATGCCATTAGCTTGCTGATGCCCTAGTCTGTTGCTATTGCTCAAATTCTCTTTCTTTCTCCAATTGATTTAGAATGCCAAGTCAAGGATCTGAAGGCAATAAAGCGGTATCACAAGGTTAAGTACAGTTTGTGTTGATTTCAGGTGGTATAAGGAAATCAGTAGGTACTGACTACTTAGGGGTATGGGCGCTAAGGGTCTTGGCTTTCAATGGGCAATCCATGAGGGTTAGGAGGGGCTTTCTGCTCCTCTCTAAAGTGTATCTGCTCAATTCTGTGTAAGATAAATCTGACAAAACTGTCAGACCAAACACTCTGAGAAGCAACACAGTCACACCCAATCACGGTAAAGGATGGCTGACCCACACAGACACAGTGACTTCCCTAGATTACTCTGCTCAGCTTAACTGTCATGGGCCTAAATGATTTTGCTGTGAAGAAAACCAAGCAGAACAGAATACTGCTGAAGCAATCACAAGCAGGTGCCCTATGAGGCAGCTGAAAGTCAGTGTGCACCAATCAGAAGCCCAGGCCAGCCTGCAGTTTAGACCAGAGAGACTCAGTCATTGTAGAAAGCCTACCTGGTCCTGAATAGTCCAACGGTAGCCACTTTGTGGCTTGTAGCTCCCAGCATTAAAACAAGAACTGCATTAGAGACTACAGAGCAACTGTCACAGTCTTGTTTCCCACTTTCCCCTTAACCAGAAATGAGGGGTTCATCACGTGGAATTCTCCTAGACATTGTCACTTTCCCATGGAGTTCACTAAACCCCAAAGTGGCTCCGTCTGTGACCAGTCAGTAAATGTAGCTGAGATTGGAAAGCATACCCTGCCTCTTGCTCCAAGGATGGCCCTTTCCACCTGGCCTCTCCCACCAGATGCTTCACTCTAGGATGACAGTTAGAACAGGATAGTTCTATTCATCCATGAGCCTTACTAACGACCCACACATAGATTTGCCTTGCCAAGATGCACAGACTTTTAAACTGCAATCTCCAGATCACACTGCTTCTCTCCACAGTAGACATTCAGCATCTCCAAACCTGATCCTGGCTGGGAGTGTCTGTGTGGGCTTTGGAAAGGTCTAAGGGATGCAGTTAAATTGTTCTAAGATGCATGTCTGATCTCTTGTTTTCTCTGTCAAGATAACAGATTCTTATTTCACTGGTCCAGTCCCTACCCCAACACCCTCACACATCAACAATTCTAAGGGCAAGAAAACAGACTATATATGCTAGCACAAATATCTCATTGTAGGTGATCACGGTCAAAACGAACCGATTCTGTTATGACTTTTTAGTGCCTGTTTGGCTTTTAATTCCACACCACTTACTGATAAAACAAGGCAGAAGCTATATTCAGTCTCTCGGTTACAGTCTTATTTGCATTCTTTTTCTATTTCAGGGGTTGAGACCCCATTGTATATAAGAAAAAACAAGATGAAAATACCTGTTACAGAGTATTTCAGCAAACCAAAGCCTCCTCTCAGTTTCAGCACCCAGGACAATGGATCAGCAAAGCCAATGTCAGCAAGGAGTGTCCAAGAATACACTCACCAAAGAGCCATCTGTCCTTCAACACACCAAAGGTAGAAATGAACGCGGGCCAGCTCTTTCACAAAGATGAACTTCACACGGACAGAACATCAAAAATACTGTAAAAAAAATAATGGTCCTCTATATGGTGGCCCATGTAAGTCTCAAAACCACATTGTATATAATGCTAGAAATAAATATTAATGAAGACATTATTTCTATTTGTAGTCAGTTTAATACACATGAAAGAAACATGCTTATTTAAATCTCATTTCCTGTCTGTAATAATGATATTAGTACCTGAACATAGAGGATACCAGAAAGGCATCCATAATCAGAATTGAGTGCCGAATCTAAATCCAGTTGGGGAAAACTGCTCAAGAATTTTAACATTTGAGCCAATTTTGGTAACCTATAATGTTTCCAAGTTTTGGGACTGTTAAAGAAAATTTCTCATCTCCTCTCCAAATAAGTAAGTAAGTAAGTAAATAAATAAATAAATGTTATTCTTCATTCACAAGCCACAGAGTTTATTTTCACTCTGCTAGTGGTGCTAATGATGGATGAAAATAATTAATATAGACTTTTTTGTGTTATTTAAATGAAATATTCTTGGGACCCAGCTATTATTCTTTTAGTGTAAGTTTGTAACATATTGTGGGTCAACCATAACAAGGTTTATTTCTTACATAAGAGTTCAGGACTCATGTTCGTACTCAGTGGATACCTTTGCATTGCTTGGTGATTGAGAGGCCCGGGATCCTTCCACCTTGTGGCTCAACTATCATCTAGAGTATCACTGCCAATTGCACCCAGCAGACAGAAGAAAATTAGACCAGAGAAAAGTACATTTTCTACTGTTGCTGCAACAAAGTATTACAACCTTAGTGACTTAATGCCACACAATTTTATTCTGTTACAATTCTGGAGACAAAGAAGGGGAATGGGCTAAAATGAAAATGAAGTCATTTTCTTTTGGGAGGCTCTGGGAAGAGTGGCTTTTCTTCTACAGATGATCCACACCCCTTCATTTGTGGCTGTCTTCTATCTTGAAAGAGAACATTAGCTAGTCAAGTTGTTCACTTGTAACAAAGACTCTCGAGATCACACTGGGCCTGTTCTGTAGACTACTAAAGATCATCCCACTGGGGTCTGGGAGATGGCTTCAAGGGGAAAATGCTTACTTTCAGGGTTGAATTCCTCTTTCCAGCTGCTTAGGTTTTTCTTTTGCATAGTGAGGCTTTTCTCTTATCTCAACAAGTTTTGTTTTATGTGTGTGTATCTGTGTGTGCATGCATACATGCACATATATTTGTATGTACAGCTTATGTGTGTGCATTCATGAGAAATGAGGGAAATGAAGAAAGGCAGAGAGAAAGCCAGTGTGTGAAAGCATCACCACATCCGCATTGCTTACTTATTTCACAGGCAATCTTTTGTTCTTCCCGACAGGATAAACATGGTAACAGTCATTTAAAATATGAACACTGAGTTTGGTACCATGGGCAGTTTCACAATGAAAACATAGGAGTGCCAAGGCTTAAATCTCATGCAATGATCCAATATTCCCAGCAAGGGTCCCATCTCTTGAGCCTGCCACTGACTTTTGGGAATATGTTAAGCTCATTGCACATGCCTCCCAGTGAGCTGGGGAAAGAGGGACAAATGTCTCCATGGGCCCATTCACTGGCAACTCTAGCCCTCTGTGCCCATTAATTCACCTTTACCTATTCTTTTCCCCTTTCATTTTTTACCTCTTGTACAAAAAAAGTTGAAAGAAAACAACACATTAAGAAAAAGGTCTTTAGGTATTATTTTTATAGCCAATCTTCAAATAATCCAGAAATTAGTTATTTGAAAATGAATGGTGACTATTGTCTTCTGGCAACGGCTGAGATACACTCTTTTAAATGTGTATTGTGTGTGCCACTCGTGTGCAGGTACCTTACAATACTGGGAGTTGGTTCTATCATGCTTGATTCTGAACCTGCAATTTCTGAAACTGTAGAAAACAAGTTGTGGTCATATTAGCCCACTCAGTCTATTGTGACTTGTTTCGGCACACCTAGGAAACCAATACAGAGCTTTTGCAAGTAATGAAAATTAAACCATGTGGTAATTTGTAACAAATAATAATAATAATAATAATAAATGACCCAGAAACTGATATTGGGGTTCAAGCTTCAAGCTGAATATTAGAAAGCAAAGCAGCTGGCCACTAGCTCTCACCTCTAGCTCAGGCTGAAAGGGCTGATCCACACACGAGCTCTTCACCAAGTCTCAGACTGCTGCCTCTCCTCAGTGTGGCTGGAGAGGAATACCTCTCAGAGACCTTGCTTCTGTCTTGTATACTTTCCTAATGTTGGAACTAAAGGTGTGAGCTTTAATAATTCCCTTTCAGACTGTATAGATCTGGGTGGCCTTGGACTCAGAGAGATCAGTCTATCTCTTAATCCTGAGTCCTAGGATTAAAGGTGTGTACCTAGCTTCTGACTGCTGGGGTTAAAGGTGTATGCCTGACTTTATGGCTTGTGGCTGACTTTTCTTTTCTGAATCCTCAGGTAAGCTTTAATAAATCATAAATAATATGTCACTACAGTAATTGACATAATTTCCTCCACTTCCATAATTACATAGGGTTCTATTTCATATAAAGTAAGTGGAAGGCACTGTATTAGTTACTTTTCTGTTGCATGGCAGAATGCTTGAGAAAACCCAGGGAAGAGCAGGCCTAACTGGCCTGGCAGTTAGGAAGCACTGATCTCATTCTACCTGCACAAAAGAACCAACAAGGAGCAGAAGTGGCTATAAGCCCTCAAATCCAACGCGCAGTGACATGCTTCACCTCCCAAAGTTCCCACAACCTCCAAAACAGCGCATCAGCTGGAGACCAAGTGCTCACACATAGCACATGGGGAACATCTCACAAAAATCTGAGACTTGGACAAGTACAGCAACATGAACTTTATTCTTTTAGAACTGTAGTGTGGCTGTTTACATCCACTGTTTGTAGACTTTGAAACAACTAGCTACATTAGGTAGCTGAGAATAAAGCAACAGAAAGAGACATTGAACATCAACATTCAATCTAATATCTAAGTGTGATGTTAGCACACACACACAACATAATACACAGGTTGTGTCACAGGGAGCAGGAGCTGCTGGAATCCACTAAACTGGTGACAGGGCATTTGCTCTGTGTGAGCTTCTCTGTAATTACCATGCAGTCTTCCCTTGTAAACCACTGTTCAATTTTGGATTTGGGCATTAGTGCATTCAGCATAATCATTCCACAATAATACACATCAGCCCTGTAACCATGAACTAAAATGTGAGAGCTAAATGAGATGTGGACAGATGTAAACATTATTACATGTACATTTTCCTACATGCCTATGTTATTTACAGAAACACACATTTACATGAGTTGGGATACTAGAGTAGAAGGGAGATGTACAATATTCACATTGAAAGCTAACATATGGAGATATATGTTATATATATATGAAAAATATAGAAAGGATAGATGTTTTTACTTTAAACTGGGGTAAAGACAAATTGATCCTTCAAGAATAACACTGTGAAATAGTCCAGCCAGCAAAACTTTAATTTTGTAATTAAATTATTATTGTCATTAAGGGATTAAGGTTATTCTTGTGATTATTTCAGAAGTATGAGAAGACATCACAAGCGAGGCACAGGAACGGGCTCCACTATCCAAAGGAAATTGCTATGCCCAGCAAACAACTAGTATTCCTTCCAGAAATAAATATTTCTTAGAAAGAACTCTACGGAACACAAAAGCTACAGGTATAAGGGCAGCCTCCCAAGTTCAACATTCTAGTAGACACACAGAACATTCATGAACATCCGGTCCACCAAACAGGATCAGACCAAACAGACAGACACTGATAGGAACATAAAAGAACAAAGCTAAGAGGTCAGAAGGCACATCCTGAAGAATACACTCCAGTGAAGGGAGGAGAATGAAGGCCTGCTAATACGGTAACATTCTCCATGACTCTGACTTGAGGTTTAAAACAATTTTGAAATCATACCTTTAGGCCTTCCTACACAAAACCAAATAATCCTTTCTTGGTGCTTAAAGGGTTTTTCATTATCATTTAACTTTTGACACGATTTAAAACCCCACAACAGAGATGAGAGAAAATCACCTTCCTTGTAGTCTGAGTGTTCTGTGACGAGCCACTGTCTGGGCGCTCCTTCAGTGGAAGGACAGCTAGGGAAGGTTGGTCACTGTGGACGGGACTCACTGAGGACACCGGGCTGGTTGCTCTGCTGGCCCTGCTCTTCTCTCTGTGGTGAGTCGGGGTCATTCTTGGACTGCTCTCCCTCGCTGGAACTGCCCCCCGCTTCTGGCCGGGGCTGCTGGTCCTGAGGAGAGTTTTCACTGGCTTTGTGTGCAGGAACAGCTCCTTTCCGTTGGGGTAAGATGGTAAAGAACGCCTCTTGCCAGTCTCTTGTTTCCAAGAACTCCAGGATAATCTCAAACACTGCGACACAGACAAATGGGTCACCACGATGCTGCATGCTGTCTTAGACTGTGGCCCCTGCCCTGATTTGTCCTAATTACTGCACTGTGGCCCCTGTCCTGATTTGTCCTAATTACTGCAAAGTTCTTACCTCCTCCTCCCCTTGGCTATCAGGGATGAACTGCCCCATGGCTCTCAAGTCTTTATGTTCTTTCCATCTTTTTCTCCTAAGCCCCATGGTTAGCATTCAGCTCACTTCCTCGCCTTCCCTATGAAGAACCACCCGAATGAGCCTTCTGCCTGCTTCTGTCTTCTACTTTCACATTAGCAGAAAGGATATCATACTGTCCCTAGGTCCACCACACTGTGGGAGGGCTATCTCTATAACTTTGTACAAAAGTACAAAAGGTATCAAAGGTTTTTTGAAGATATTTGTTCCTTGAATAAGTAATTTAATTTAATTTCTCTTACCCCATAAAGCCTGCTATACATAAAGAACTTAGGATTACATAAGTTGTTGTGCACTGACTAAAATTGTTCCTTACAGAGGACAGGGGTTCAGTTCCTAATACCCACACAGCTGTTTATAACTGCCTATAACTCCAGTTCCAGGGGATCCAATTCCCTCTTCTGGACTCCACAAGCACCAGACAGGCATTTGGTATAGATACATACATGCAGACGAAACACTCATACACAGAGAATAGAAACAAATCTTACAAAATTTAAAGATGGGTGGCTTGATGACACATGGCTTTTATCTCAATATTCAGGATGGAAGCAGAGGCAGGTGGATTTCTCTAAGACCAGCCTAATCTATACAGTGAAACCCTCTCTCAAAACCTTTCTAATTATAAAGCAGAGTTGTATCACAATGTTATTCATGATGGAAATATACATATACATATATATATACATATATATATATAATGGGGAAATGACTAAATGATTATTTTAGAGGCTGTAATATCACATAGTCACTAATAATCAATCCCATGAAAACTCTGATGAAATGAAGGAGGGTCCCCAGATTCATCACAGGAAAAGAACTGGGAGGAAACACGCCCACAAGTTAGCAAAAAGTCTCTTCGAGTTACGAGATTACAGGAGTTGTCTTTATACGTCTGTAGATTCTCAGAACTGTCTAGAGACTCACTCTTGTTCTAATAAACAAACGGCTTCTCTCTTCTATCTGTCCGAGTCTGAATGTACTGTCTCTTTTGGTGTCCGTCACTCAGGGACACCTTCAGTCACCTCCATAGCTTACCGTGGTTAACTGCCAGGACTTTGCGACTGTTCATCTTCACAAAATCTGCAAGAGGGAGCTGTGCATGCTCAATTCCGTAACTGGATGCTTGCTTAAGTGTGAGACCCTGAAAATAAAGACAACGGGGTTTAGATGTACAGTCGATGAGAGTGTAGGTCTAATGTTATCTGGAACGTGTGCTCTAAGTCAGGCAGGAGAGAACATCCAGCCCTGTGTACACCTCACTTCCCAGAGGTGAAAACTGCCTTCCCAGCAGTTAGGAAGCCTCTAGGTGGCAGAACAAAGAATTGCAGCAGATGTTTTCTGATTATTCTCTTTCCCTCCCCCACCCCATTTCTCATAGTGTTAAACTCTCCAGCTGAATTCAGAGAGAAACCATCACTCTTTCTGTGAGAACGAAATAGACAAAGGCACACAAATGGCAATGGAATGAAATCCAGATTGAAAAGTATTTCAGTGGTCCTTATATTTTATTTTTGGCTTTCCAATAACTACAAATCAGATAAGAATTCTATCTTTTCTCAAACTTAAAATGCTTGAAGTCTATGTCTATCCCAGATAAAAGCACCCAGAAGGCCATCCAGGAAATGTAAACTGAATCTCTCAACAAGTACTTAGTGTATCAGGGAGACAAGAGATGAGAGGAGCTAGGGGCTTTGGGAAAAAACTATTTTATTAGAGAAAGAGACACAACTTGAGCAGACAATATGTTTGTGCATATAAGCTAGAATTTCCCACTGAGAACAACAGAAAGGTTGACGAGAAGGTTCCTTCACTGTCATGAGTTGCTCAGCTCATGGCTAGCCACACCTGGCCCCTTCAAGATCACAGTTTTACAAAAACAAGTCCAGTTTCTCTGCTGTATTGCAGCTTGGTGTGCCACAGCCATGCAGCCACTGCTGGCCAGGCTGATGTGCTCACCTGTGACATGGTAGAAATTCTACGTACATACTGCTGCAGAAGAACACACAACTCCTTCATATACTGTGCTGACAATATTTCTTTACTTAGAAATAATACTTTTTCTTCAGAAAAATAGGATGAACTGAGCATGTTGCAAAGTACACAAAAATGTTTTCTTCATTAAGTGGAGTTCTGTAACGTTTTATACATAAAACATAAGGTGAGAAAAAAATGGAGAGAAAAACTAATTTGATAATCACGTATTTAAAAACTGCTATAGAGCTGGCATGGACTCGGTGGTTAACAGCACCGCTCTTGCAGACCGCTGGGCTCACTTCCCAGCATCCATGTGGCAGGTGGCTCGCAACTGTCTGTAACTCCAGTTCCCGAGGTCCTGACATCACTTTCTGACCTTCAAGGGCACCAGGCAAGCAAAAGCGAAGACACATGCAGGCAAAACACTCATACACATAAAACAAAAATGAAACCTATTTCTTAAAGATTGGTATAAGCTTCAGTGGCTTAGCAATTCCTTAGCATCAGAGCCCTCAGCAACACAGCACACACAGCTTAGGCATATAGACTCTGCAGCAATCTGGTCATTTCCAGAATCTGCTTTGCCAACCAACACGGTTGACTTTAGGTTCAATTTCTTAGTACCCAAAACTGTGTGTGAAGTATAGAAAAAAACTGCCCTGGTCTCTCTCCCAGGGCTGCAGGGAGGGTTACCACCACAGTCACAGGTGCTCAAGAAAGACCATCATCCTGAGGACTTCCTCACTACCCGAAACACAGGTTTAGGCAGGCAGAGAGCACAGTACCTTGTGATGGTTGTGGTCCACTAAGCCTCCAATCACATAGGCCTTTGATTCATCTAAGTCCTTCAGTACATTAGGAGAGTCTGATGTCAGATAAACCAGGTCTTCTTTTTTTATGAGTTCACTATAGTGCTCTGACTGGATGTGGATATCCTTTAAAAACAAAAGGAGGATGCGTATTAATTAGCAGGACACTGTGAACACTAGCTAAACATGATTATCCTCTTTTCCCAAAAGAAACCTCTCTAAAAACCATCTGGAGTAAAGCCTGAGAGGCTATTGTTAGAACAGTGCTTAAAATCCATAACCAATTCCTTCCCTCATAGCTCAGTCACTGACATACTCTACTAACCTTATTTCCTTGGTTGGAGCCTCAGTCCCTAATCTAATTCCACACACGATGACAAGCTAAGTTCCTAAAATCTCACTTGTTGTTATTCAGCCCTTTTCTGGAGGGTTAACACCAAACAAACTCCTTAACTTAGGAACTCTTTCGTGTGAATATGGCACTAGCCTATCTTTCTCATTTTATCTCGGATCCCAAAATAAAAAATAAAAATGTAATTTTCCTGCTGTCTTGATCACACCATTTTCCAGACAAGAAATGCCTTTTCTAATTACATCTCCTATGTCAATCATCAAAACTGCTTGTCAATTTAATTAATTGAATGCGTCTGTTTCTACAAGGAGACAAACTTGGAAGCTTCTTTACCAAAATTGTCAATTCAGAGACACAAGGCTGAGTGAGAGCTGGCAGCCCAGATTTTTCAAGTTACATTAATTGCTTGAATGATGTTACCACTCCCTGACTTTTACACAATAATTTTAAAGAAAATCAAGTGAAGCAGACATTTAACATTGTATGCTACTGATTAATATAATTACTTTTCTGGAAAACAGTATGCTATAAATGTGTTCCTATACTTAGTAGTGGCTTCAAGAGGTATCTGAGTAACCTGAAGTCACTAAATCTGTATTTCTCTAGAAAAGTGAGGGTGTACATAATAAGCTTGGCAAGACTTGAACTATAAAGTATGCTGGTCTAATATAGTCATTATTTCTTAGGAAAAAAGACATGAATCTAAAAGACTTGCTAAGGATAATCTTCTTGCAAATGTCTGTATGACAGGCTTTTATTGAAAGCAGCTATTAGATCAGAAGGTACCAGAAGAGAAAGCTGAAAGCAAACACACACAAGCAGAACATAGCACTCCTCAGAACAGAAGAGTACCCAGCCATCTTTACAAAAACCTAAAATAGGGAAAGTGTACATCACAGATAATTTAAATCTTCTAGAAGCCACACTAAAAATTAAACATGGATAAATTACCTTCAACATATTAACATAACATGTCTATGTTATATCCCACCCCCACTTTCTGATTCTGCATGTACCTCACACTTACAGCACATGTCAACTCACGATCCAGATTTTCACCTCTCAAGAGTTCATGTTTGTCTACTGCTCACAAAATGAGCAGCACGGATTTACATGTAGAGACACTTTTCAAATTCTAGAGAGACTTTTGGGTATTTCTATTATATAGAAGTGGTTTTAATAGCAGACAAGACTTAGGAGAGTAAACGCAAATGAGCAGACATCTCATTCTGTTCTTTAGCTTCTCCCCATGTAACTCTAGACATGGATGTAATGACACACAGGCTTGGTGCACACCTCTAGACGTGGATGTAATGACACACAGGCTTGGTGCACACCTCTAGACATGGATGTAATGACACACAGGCTTGGTGCACACCTCTAGACGTGGATGTAATGACACACAGGCTTGGTGCACACCTCTATAAACATGGGTGCACTGACACACAGGCTTGGTGCACACCTCTAGACATGGATGTAATGACACACAGGCTTGGTGCACACCTCTAGACATGGGTGCACTGACACACAGGCTTGGTGCACACCTCTATAAACATGGGTGCACTGACACACAGGCTTGGTGCACACCATTACTGAGAGCTTAGGTAAAATAAAGAGGCCTTCCAGGAGCTTAGAGGTACTTGAGTGTCACGAGAGTGGACTGCTGTACTACCTTCCAGTTGACCCATCCTTTGTCGTTTTCATTCATGTTCTTCTTCAGCTGACCTCCATGGCTTGTCAAATAAAACTGATGAGCAAGGTAAGCAGAGAAAAAGAAGGAAAACAATCAGTTTATTTCAGTATTTTACTTCCCTCGTCATTCATCTGATGACCAGTGATTAAGAAAAAAGAACTGTTACCAACCCTGAGCAACCCTGTACTAGGTGGTAGAAAGGGCATGTGCTAACCCAGTGGCTGTGGCATCCACCCACATTTTCCTCCCTCTGTCTGCCATTGAAGATCATGCTGCAAACTCACTGCCTTTCCTCGGGTTCTCATCCCCCTCCTGGGAGAAGGGGCCCGCCACTATTAATTATTGTTGCTATTTTTGCTGCTGTGGAGCCTTTCCTGACCCCCACTTTACAGCTGTATCAAGCTGAAGACCTTGAAAAGTGTGTGTGTGTATATATATATGTAAATGTATATGCATATATAATTACATATATGTAATATATATGTAAGGCTATCACTGAAGCAGGTACAGAATTATATGAAAACACAGTCCATACTGCTCCACATGGTAAGACACACATCTAAGCACAGCACATGTGGGAAGTTCTTGGTTCTTCCCGTCTGAGGTAGGAGTCACAGCAGCAGCCAACTAGTCTCCACAATTACTCTCAACTAAATTTAAGAAATCCTTTTCAGAACTGTCAAAAGGAAATGTAAAACAGACCCACAGCTAAGAGGCCTTGTTGTACACATCGGAACAGGGCAGCCTAGAACCCTCCTTTCCCACTTCCCGTGGCTGGAAGGAGTCAGAAGCTGAGACCTGGTGTGAAGATATGCACATGTCCTAAATCAAAGACGCCCATCTACACAGCGGTGGACAGTCACTGAAAATGCACAAGACTCATGTTCAAAATATTTTTGTAGAAAAAAAAAAGATCAAATAAGCATGACACAAGAAACCTCTAAGACTCCCAGCTAAGGACAACAATCCATGCCTCGTCATGGGAGATGGGGAAGAAAGCTGAGTTTCCTCTAACCCTTCACACACACCTGCACAGGGTGTGACGCTCGTCGGTTTTCTGCGTAACATCGTTGAATCTGCTTATGAAGCTTCTTAATATCCTATAAAATAGCACAACTTAAAAAGTTATCAAAGTCACCTAAGGCTATTCTGTGGTGTTACAGGAATAGAACAAAGAGAAGGAATAGCTAGGTAGGCAAAAATATTTCCTTTAAAATGTAAGGACAGCCAGGGAGGTGGTGCATGCCTTTAATTCCAGCACTTGGGAGGCAGAGGCAGGAGGATCTCTGTGAGTCTAAGGCCAGCCTGATCTACAGAGTGAGTTCCAGAACAGCCAGGTTACAAAGAGAAACCCTGTCTCAAACTATGACTGTTGTGATAATATTCACTTGATTTTCCTACATACTGACAGAACAACTGGAAGTTAATGTTCCATAACTCAGCTGTCCTTTTGTCCTTTAAAGTCTATTCAAAATGCTAGCTGACGCTGTCTAAATGGAAAACAACAAAACCTTTTCAGAAAAATGCTATTTCTACACTTTACCCCAGTGGCACTGGTAAAATGCAAGATTTAAAACAACACTTGTGCGTGTTTGCATGCCTGGATATACGTCTGTGCACCATGCTGGGCAGTGCCTCTGGCCACGTGGCTGCTAGGACCCAAACCCGGGTCTCTGGAAGACCAGCAGGTGTTCCTAACTGCTGAGCCATCTCATATCTCCAGTCGTGCTACAGACGTTCTGAAAACAAATTTTGAAAGGGATCTCACTGAGTAGTCCAGGCTTGCCTCAAATGGGCTGGCCTAAAACTCTGAGATCCTCCTGCATCCATTTCCCATGTGATAGGATTACAGACATGTGCCGTCACAGTGACTCCATAGGTCTTTAGGACTAACATGTAGTTACGAAGTTTTACTATCTAATTAATGGTGTCTATCTATGCATATGCAAACATATATGTAAATATGCATATACTTATTATAGGACTTAATTTGGGAGCAGAGATTTTGAAAAACTATATAAATACTATCCATAATACTAGATATGAGAATAAGAGGGATTTAACCTAGTTCACACACAGGGACCTCGTGATACCTTTAACACCATCAAATCGTCAAAACTGCAGTCGATGATAAGGCGGAGGCTGCTATGGACACCATGTCTTCGGATGCGTTTTCTGTCGCTCCCATCTGAACTAGATTCCAGCTGACACTGTCGTTCTAATTTCTTTCTCTTGCGCTTTTCTTTTCGTTTTTCCCTAAAATTAGTAAACAAAACGTTTTGTTATTTCTGTATTTAGACATTCCCAAGATTTCTAATTAAACAAAAGGAAAAAACCAACTATGTTTGTAAACAGTCATGGTTCTATGAAAGCATGTCTCTTCTGTGGATAGAAAAGGGTCAGACAGCAACAACTTTATTTACTCCTGCAATAACTTTACACATAGAGGAAATGACTTTGCAAAGATAATATAAAGCTTTCTTTAATGAATAACTGAATATATTATTCAGTAGTATCATTACTGATACTATACTATGCCTAAGAAAAACTTAAAAGAGTTATAAAGAATTTTACTTTCATAACTCATCCCTTAAATGATTTTCTAGTTCAATAATCATTGACAACACTAAAAAGAAAATTTCACTAAATTTACTAAAAGAACAGAAATAAAAACCCAACGTTTTTCTAACCTCTTCTAAATCTTGGCATTAGACATGGCTGTAGCCTAAATGCTTTCATGAAAACCTGTTTTAGCCACATCCTTGTCAGGGCAATGTTTGACCTTCCTGTGTTGTTGTTTTATCCCGTATCTAGGACACTGATACCAGCTCCCTTGTCTCAGCTGTTGCAACAGGTGTCCTGCTAGTCAGGCAGCGTTAGGGGAGAAAAGATGCTGAGCCTAACATTATTAGTACTGCAAAAAGCAAAGTCACAATTTGTGGTTTTAACAGAAACTCAGTGTTAGCTAATAGCTAATAGCATGCCTAAGCTTATTTTTTCCTAACCAGTTGTAAGGAAGACAGCTATTAAGAGGATATCCCATCCCTGAGTAGGATGTAGCATGCTCTGAAGTACGCACTTCCGAAGTTCTCGCTGTTCTTCCCACTGCTTCTGCTTCATCAGCTTCTTCATCTGCCGCTTAGATATTGGCTCAGTCCCTGCATCTAAGCTTGGCTTCTGCCCATCCTCTTCACCATCACTTACACCTGGCTCTCTTCCCACATTAGGAGTCGCAAGACACACTGGCAGCATCTCAGACGACATGTTGGTTGTTTCTGAAAATCTAGAGAGCAACATTTTTTTTTTACATGAACACATAATTTACAGACACAAAGCAAAATGACCCGAATGGCCAATAGATGCCAACAAATGTTAAACTCTGTCTATAATAAAAATACAAATTTAGACAGTTAATTCCATGTATGGCAAAGATCTTTGACTTTCACTTAACATGAATTAAGGACTAAAGAAATGGTGATTACACATTGTCATACAGTTTTCCAGAAGGCAAGTTATCTTCTGAGAGTTGTAATACACTGATACTGTCCTAATTAGCTTCAGCTGTCACACTGATAGCCAGGGGTTATGTGAGGAAGCTCAATGGAGGAACTGCCCAGATGATGTTAGTCTGGGACCACATCTATGAAGAACTGTCCAGACTGTTTATTGATATGGAAGAGGCCAGCCCACTGTGGGAAGTGCCATCCCTAGGCAAGTGGTCCTGGGCCATATAAAACGCTAACTAAGCGTAAGCATTGGAGTAAGCCAACAATGTCTGCCTGAGTCTGTCATGACTTCCCTCAGTGATGAATTGTGAGCTACAAGCATAAGCCAGTGACTCCTTCCTTAGCTTGCCTTTGGTCAGTGTTTTATCACAGCAAAAACTGGGACACATCTGACCTAGTAATTTATTTTCTTAGAACGAATTCCTGAATCAGAAATATACACTAAAATTTGCATTCATTCTAGCATTACTTTTAACTGTGAAAAGTCAGAATTTACTTGAGTGTCAGCAATGTCAGCAAAGAGAGTCAATAAATTATGATTCCTCTATAACATCAATTATGTATACTCTATAAGGTCAGTTACATATATTAAGCAGCCAGTAAAAATACTATTTCCAAATTACTTATTAATAAAGGGGACTATATTTTAAATCTGAGTATTAAAACAAATACTAATATTCATATTATATCAAATTAATTTTAAAAGTGCACATATACACACATCTTCAACTTTTGTTCATTGAAATTTTATAACTTGAATGATACACACAAATTTTCTTTCTCAACAAATGTCATTGTATATCTGTAAACACTTTAGGTGGATTAGAGCAAAATATAAAAATTAATTCTGTAATCAGTCTGTGAAATTCTTTGGGTTGGCTGAAATAAATCTCCATTTAAGTCTAACCACATGCATCTCTATCCATAGTAGGTAGAACTGAACTTGCTGATCAAAGGAAAGCTGAATACAGTATGGCTCAAACCCAGTTCTAACAGCAACCCTTCCCAGTAACTGAAAACCTTGGGGGTGAGGGATTCTGAAGGGACCGTGCAGATTGCACACTGTTGACAGTCAGCTCTGAAGGTATTAAATAAAAAAATGTATAGGGATAATGGAAGAAACAAGACTCATTAAACATGAAAAGTGAAAAGCAAAACTAGAATACACAAGAAAACATTTTATGAAAGGAATTTCTGTTTATCCGTGGCAATATTTTTCAGTAGTTCTGTGTGTAGTTAAATAAACCTCCACGTGTTGAGCTATACTGTGAGAATTACAAAAGCCACGTTTTACGACTCACCTACACCAGGGGGAGCCTGTCTTTCACATTTAAATGTTTCAAGTTAAATTTAATTTGACCTATCACAGAATAGTGACATTTCTGAACAGCCTATCAAAAATAAAGAAACACGAATTTACTTTAGCGATTCTCAAAACACTGTGCTGGGTGAGTTTTCTACGCTTTAATTAAGTAAGCCAGACATACTGAAGCAAGTATACGTGAAATGCAGATAAAATACTAGCGGGCTATCTTATTTTGGCTAGACTTTACCAAGACAGCTTCCTCCCGACCGTCTACCGTACCATAAACACACTGTACACGAATTTACCGCAGTTATCTGTTATGCAAAACACGGCACTTTTGAGCATACTTTTAGTTTGGGTCATGACGTACGTCTCGATGGCAGAGTCTGGGAACTCCACCCTGACCCGCAGCGATGCTCAGGGTACATTTTCATTCAGTAAGCCCACTCAAGCAAGTATTTAAGAACATTTTTTTTTTTTTAAGAAAATCTAGAACGAACGTGTGGGATTTTACTGTAGCACAATTAAAAAAAAAATGGATGGCTAATTCATGGATATAGGTTATCAGATGGGGTTATAAAACTCAGAACTGAATGATGACTAAGGGTGTGGAGAGAGCATACATCGTCGAAGGCCAAAGACAAAAACCAGAGCTGTCATCACGCCGGCTAAAATAAAACAGCCCTGGTGTGGTTGTAAGGTTTTCTTTTCGGGAACTGCCAAGTGGCAGTGCCTGCAGGAAGGAGCCAATGGCCTGCGGTAACCGGGTCTTTTCTGGGGTGTGTGTGTGTCTGTGTGTGTGTGTGTGTGTGTGTTTCTTTCTTTTCTAACTGTGTTTTAACGCGTTGGTCAGTGCCGCGGTAGCAGGGAAGACTATGCTGCTAGACAAGCGGCCACACTTTAAACACCAAGTGTGTCGGTGACGTCTGGCAGCAGCTGGATCTTAAGACTCGTCCTCGGCTCACCACGAGGCTCAGCCGCAGCTGCAGCAACTGCCCCTCGGCTCCCTCCATCCGACCGCCGGGGGCGCGGGGAAGAGGAAGGCGCCCTGCCCGCTCCCTAACAAAGCAGCAGCACCGCGACGGGCGGCCCTGCGACCCCGCATTCCTCTTCCTGTCACACTTCCGGCCCCGGCCCCCACCAACAACAGAAACCTGGAGAGCCGCGCGGTCCAGGGCACGCGCACGCGCAGACACACGCCCGCCGTGCCCGCCCCGAGCTTGCTGTGCGTCCGAGAACGCGGCCCCAGCTGGCCAATCAGGACGCCGCAAGGAAGGCCGTGGGGGCGGGGCGGGGGACGCGCCACCTGACGTCACTTCCTTGCAGAACAGGCAACTACTTCCCAGGCTCTGCCCTCTCCCCCCGGAAGCCCCGATGGCAGCGGCCGGCGGCACGGTGCGCGTTCCTTTAGCATCCGAAAGGACAGCAAAGAGCAGCCGCGCGACAGCCGCAGTGCCATATTTACCAAGCCGCGGGGCCGATGGGGAACGCCAGGGTGCGGTCAGAAAGCCTTTCTGAAGTGCCCACCGCTCCACGCGTCCGGTCCTCCTCCAGAAACTTCAACTCCCAGAGGCAGAGGCGGTGGTTGCACGCCTGGTTACGGCACTTGCGGATGACGTCATCTAAAGGCGCCGATTACAAACTCCTAGGTTGGGGAGAGGGGCCGGAGCTTTGGGGGCGGGGCCAAGACCTAGATTTTGTTGGGGGAAGTGGCGGCTACCACGAGGTGTTCTCCCCTAGCGAGACCTGAATTTGTACTCACAGGCGTTAATTTACGTATATGCTCGCGTCGCAAGAGAGTAAAGCCCTACGTATAGAAATTAAAATACGAAACAGACGAAGCGCTCTTCTCGGTGTTGAGAACATGACCTATTGCCCAGATGATTTCTGATTTATATAGGCAAAAGCTACTGACATCACATTGTTTTTTTCCTAAGTGAAGTTATTAGTAAAATGCGTTGAAGTTGGGAGTTTTAAGGTTTATATTTTTTTATATCCTTAGTAAAAACATAAGCTGTATAATCCATTCTTTGAGGTTTTTCTATGCTATTTTGCAAAACACCAGTGATATTTCATCGTTTGTAATACTTGACCTTATATAATCTTTTGGCTAAATATAGACCAAGTCAACCGCGGGGGAAAAATTAAGCACTTATGTAGATTGACCTTTTTTAAAATTAATTTGCCGTTTTTTGATTGATGACTATTGTAGAATTTGGAAATTAAAAACTATTTTCAACTTTTTTAATAGAACTCGTCCCCTTTCAATATTGAAAGGTACAAGGTGTGGAGTTTTCTTTATGCTTGATCTTTGGACATGGTTACAGCCTCTTAGATGAACTCAAACGTCTCTGAATTTAGTGGCAAAACTGAAGCCCTTCCTTAAAATCTCCAGTTGTATTTGGGGTGTGGGCCAGGATTCTGTTGTGGATCTCTCAAGTCTAAAAGATTTCTGTTAACTGAGCATTGGCACAAACTGGATCCATTTGTGATCTGTTAGTAGGACATCTTTTTTCAGCTACCTCCATATCAGGGCAGAGAGTAGCTGAGGAAGGATTAGTAATTGGATATGGAGCCCTTCACATGTAGGTCATTAAATTCAGGCTGGCATAGTAGTGTGCCAAATCTTTCAGCAGCTGTTCAGTTGCCCCATGGGATCTGCTTTATAAATAATGATACAGTTTTAGAGGTAGTGCCTAGCACCCTCGATATTTAAAAGAGGTGGTTGTTGTTGTTTTTATTTTGTTTTGTTTAAGTTATGAGAAAGTCCCCATTTTAATGATGGCAAATTTTGACTGAGTTATTTGATCTTGTAGTTGAAGGATCAATCGGAAGTATTTGGAAAAAAAAAAAGAAAAGTACTTGCAGAAAGACAGAAGCATATAAAATGTTTTTAAGGCAAGGTCATGTGGCATGAAGCAGTCATTGATTTATGAGACTCATGTTTAACACATTTAACAGTCATGAATTTGTCCTGGGATTTTATGCAATGATGACTAAATGGTTATTTCTGTCCTAAAGGAATAGGGGCTCCAGAAATGAATACATACTCAAGATGCCTACAGATATAAAGGAACAAGTGAGCACATGGTTTCAGAGATCTTACGATTTTGCTCCATCTTGGAAAGTCAGCAGTTTCGAAATATAAAGAATTTACAACACTGGGAACAGTGAAAAGCAAAGACCAAAACATGATGCTGGTTTTACACAGTGAAAAGCAATGGGTAGAGTAAGGAAGAGAGAAGAAAGCTGACTTTTAAAGATGCTTCTAATTTGAACAATGCTAGAAAGACACTTCCATTAACTGAACCATTTAGAGAACACTAAAAGGAAATTGGACTTTAAAAAAATTAGCAAGCTTGGATTTGAATATTTGTGGAATGCGGGGGATCTGCAGACATCTAAATAGAAACAGACTTAAGACCCAATAGTGCGTGTTTGAACTTTGAGCGGCTAGAAGAAGTTTCTGCAGGTCATGAGCCTACTGTATCTGTAGAATCAGGAATGTAACAAAGGAGAGAAGTCACCTGCAGGGAAGCCTGGGAGGGTGTTTCCTTTTTAATCAGAGTACAAGCTCCAAGTGGCAATATGGCCCCAATGATAGCAGACCTCAAGTTTTGAAAGAGCAGTCAGAAGTTGAATTTGTGTGAAGTCTGGTTTGTAGGTATTGACACTGCTTTGCTTTGTAAAATACTGAGGAACCATGATAGAAAATAGTACAAGGGTTTCTAGAGAAGTTAAAAATAGAATTACATACAGAAAACTGAGAAAATCATATCACTGCCTCTTAGATACATGCACTGCTATGTTCCTTGCAGCAATCCCCATCATCAAAATAGGGAAACTAATATCTGTCTGAGTTAGCAAATGAATGGAGTAAGAAACTGGTAAATATATACAATAAGCTATTAGCCATGGAAAAACAAGATCTTGCCATCTGCCTACTTGTAAATGAGCTTAGAAGACCTTGTGCTATCAAGTAAGCTAAAATATTTTGTTTTCTCACTTATGTGTGGGAAATAATCAAGTATACAGAAATAGGGGATAAAGCAGTACTTAGGAGGAAGGGGAAGCTCAGGGGAGGGGAGGAAGATGTGAGTCAACATGTAAGATAAGCCAGTCTAGAGAGTAAATGTGTAACCTGAGGACTGCTGGTCATAGAGTTGTTCTGTACACTGTTTTCATATTAAGGAAGTGGTTTTAGCTGCTGTCATCACAAAGGAAACAGAAAAAGTTGCTTAACTATGAAATTGTGAATATGTTAATTTGCCTCACCATAGCAACCTTTTTACTATTCATATCTATCCCATAGTATCATGTATGCCTTAAATGTATGCAATAACATTTATGGAAAGAAAGAGTTTATGTGATTTAATCACAAGTAAATATTGAGCAGCCTAAATAAGTCATATCTGTACACCAGTTTCAGACAATTGGCAGGCAGTTTAAGTTGGACCACACATTGTAAAGTAGGAGAAAAAGCTACAGATAGAACAGAATTTTAGGGCACCAAACATGGTAATAAATGTGGTTATGAGCTTCTCCATATGTTTCGCCACATTGGGCATTCACTAAAAATTCCACTAAAAATTTAGTTAGCTTTAAGTCTGAGTACTCTTCAGCAAGTTGGGAGTGATATGTGGGGGGCAGAGTAACACTTGTGAATACTTTAATTTTAGACTGGAGGGCCCAAATGGACTCAATCTAAAACATGACTTGAAAGGTATCTAAAAAGAAGAAATAGCTTCTCCACTATATTTATTTCTACTGGCACTTTGGTTGAATTAGAAAACAGAGGAAAAACTTCAACGATAACTTAAAGTACCTTATAATTCATAAATATTGAAGATGCTGGGAAGATGCATAGGGAGGAACATTTGTGAACCTCCTGAATCTCCTCATAGAAACAAGTGGAGCATCTGGTGTGGCTAGCTGTCTCAGACTGCTGTATCTAAGGCAAAAAAGAATCTGAAAGCCCTGGGAACAGGAGGGCCACTAACTGCTGAGCATTTGCTGCAGAGTAAGGGATACTATGTGACACCAACAAGAAAACTAACAGGTGGTCTAGCAAACTCAAATCCAAGGAGAATGTAAAAGAATGATCAGGAAGCTGTGGAGTTGCCACTGTGGAATTGCTAAAACCTGCATATGGGGGTAATGTTCTAAAGCTAAGCCCAGCACCATGGAGAAACTGCTAGGGTCTAAATTGAACAGGAACAGACAGCAGGAAGAAAAAAGACACAGGTACATGTGTGCTATTTTACTAAAGCAACAGAAGGTATTTGTAGTCTTAAGAGTATAAAAGCGGTACCCCCTCCTTAAAAATACAGATACTGCCCAGCCAGCAAGATGGCTTTAGTGAGTAAGGATGCTTGCTGCCAAGCCTGAGGACCTACATTCAGTCTCCAGGACATTCGTGAGGAAGGTGACTTGACTCCTGGAAGTTGTGCTATTACTCTACCCAGGTCCATGGGTAGGCTCACTCACAGCAAATATTTTTAAGAATACTACACAAAAGGATTATAGTTGGATTTCATTTAAAGGTGCTGCAGTACAAAGTGAACAATGACGGAGATAGAGGAGTAAGACATGAACCCAGTATTTCAGAGATAAAATATGAACAAAACAGAAAATTAAGAAATGGACTGCTTTGAGAAAGGAGAAGTTTGAAGAAAGTAGTGGTTGAGGAAAGAATGAGTATTAAAAAGTGCTTGTGAGCATATGACATGCCCAAAGGCCTAGCTAGTGAAAAGGAAGGAAAAGGAAATTACAGATGGCATGATTGTCTATCTATATAAAAAGACAAAGGTTTCCTAAATCCTCATTTCACTCATTAGCAATTATAGCAGAATTTTAGGACAAAAACGTCAACACACAAAATCCAGTTGGTCTGTGTGTCAGTGATGTAGTCTTATCTTGTAATTAAAACACTTAACCCCATCTTGTGCCATAGATAGAAATCTAATAAATCTGTAAAGAGCTTAAAGAAGGAAATCTGAAAGACTGATGGAAAACTCAAGATCCAAGTAAATTCAGAGATGTTCTCCTGTGCTGGAAATTGAAGACCCTGAGAAAATGGATACCTACCATTCATGTAGCCAATGAATACTGAAAAGAAAAAATCTAAACCTTAACACATCGATGTGGGGCATGTAAGGAACACAAGAGTGAAATTGAAAGAACTCATGATGTGAGTGTGTATGGGACCGGGTGGGGGGTGTATTCACATGAATATGTGAGTGTGGGTGTTTGTGAGTTCTCCAGCATAAGTGTGTGTGTGTGTGTGTGTGTGTGTGTGTGGCAGTTTATATGGGGATGTGAATTCAGGTCTTCATACATTACAGACTAAGCCATCTTCCTAAATCCCTGAAAGAACTCTGATTAAACAAACATTTTACTCTGAGTGAATAAAAAATAAGCAACTATAGCAAGACTAAACACAGTAGTATTAGGCTACAGCTCAAAGTGTAGAGTCTGTGATTCTAATGTAAGGGATTAAGTAAGTAATTGGGCAAGAGAAGACAAAATAGCATGCCAAGGAAACCCTATTAATTCATGTCACTACTCCACTGCTAGAGAGAAATGTCGCTCCCTTTTTAGCATCGTACTTTCTTCCAAAGAGTCCAGAA